CCATAAATTTTTTAATATTGACAATTTGTGTTGCCTTTAAAAGCCTCTGTTTTAAAATATACTTTACTTATTTGTTTATTTATTTTTAATTTAATTCCTGATCTTATTTAGTTCAAGTTTCAGAACCAACACCTGTATCACTGAAGGACAAAGTGTCCGTTGTGGTTTCCTTTTTGACTTGAACAAAATATGTCATAAATGTGTGGGTCAGAGGCAGGTGTGTCTGATAACRTAGCACAGAGTTGTGCAACTGGACCGGGTGCATCAACAGGGCTGGGCAATTGTTGACTTTGAGCACAAACCTGTAAATTCAGGAAGTCAAGTTTCTGAAGGATAAATATTAGCAGTGATTGTAAATACACCATGTATTTTTTTCTTTAGGGAATAATCCTGGGTAGTATCCTGGTTCCTCTCCGCCTCACACTGGCAGTCATATGTTTCCTCATCATGTGGCCCGTTGCCCTGCTAAGAGTGGCCGGCCTATCCAAAGAGGAGCGCTCTCGACCCATCACAGGCTGGCGCCACTGGTTCTACCATCCCATCATGTTGAATCTGAGCCGGGCCGTCTTCTTCTTCCTGGGTTTCCTGTGGGTTCGGGTCAAAGGGCGCAGGGCCGACCTGAAGGAGGCGCCGGTTCTGGTGGTGGCACCCCACAGCGGCTTTCTGGACATGCTGGTTCTGTGTCCGACCCAGTTGGCGACGGTGGTGTCTCGCTCTGAAAACACCAAGCTGCCTGTTATTGGAGGTAAGTGGCAGGAAGTTGATTAATGGTGAGATCGTTTTCCTGCTCATTAAGGTTCATGTTGTTTATTCCATCAATGTAATCTAAAACAAATCCAGATTCAAATCCATTTAAAGTCGAGTTAATTTAATTCTAATACAAATCAAATCAAATATTACAAAATTCTCAAAAGATGTGTCAAAATTAGCTACAAAATTAGTTTTCGTTGACAGACTATGTTCAGTTTATTTAGTGTGTATTCAGATCTGCAGGGTGAGTCAAAAGTCACAGGACACTTTTTTTGGCTCCAATATGGCAGCTTTCAAGATGGCCGCCACGTTCTGGACATTAGATAGGACCCACCCCCCCACACACACACACATATTGCTGGGGGATTCAGATATGTCATTTTCCCTTCTTTCTGAAATAAGCCTGTCCTATGATCTTTGACTCACCCTGTATTAAACTGGACCTGAGGAAAGGTTTTAAACAATATCTTACCTGTTGTAGATGGCTTTTTGAATGATATTATCTCAATTTGATGAGTTTAGTTCTGACCACAGTGACAAGCTAACAGCTAGTCTGAGTGGGTCATCTTAAAACAACTCTCATTTCTAAACTAGTATATTTGAGGTAGAGTCTGGATTCCTGTGGTCTTTTTAGTATTTTATAAGAAAAGTCAATGTTTTGCTCTTGAGAGTGGGAAGAATGGGTGCAGTGTTGTGGACTCTGTACTGGTTTGTTGTGATGAASAAGAGAGCTTAAAGTGTGTTTCATAATCCTACCTAAAAGCCTGGTTATTTGCTACAGTTACAGCACAACTGTACCTTTTTTATATAAACTGACACTGTTTATAAAGCCTTGTGGAGTAAAAATAAAGCTTATCCAGTCAAAAACTTTTAGATAAATATTTGAGGCGTTCACTTTCTAATCATGTCTCCGATGTCCTTCTCACTGGGCTGACACTGGCTGAACGACATTTTTTTGTTTTTTCATGACATCATCACAAAGTAGTTGTATGGATGCTCAACCCATCTCAACAGCCTGAAAAAAACAATTCAGGGCGCATGTCCAAAAACCACATTTGACGATTAAAGTAATAAAAAAATGAATCTGCCGTCTTTATTTTAACAATGTACTCCGGTGGATGAAGTCATAAACGCCAAGTTGTGAACAAGGCAGGCTGGTGACTACAGTTTGGGCGGAGGTGCGGGGTTCCAAGAATGCAGTTTTACAAGTTGTATACGCAATAATTGGTTGCATTTTTCAAGAATTGGCYACTTAAAATGTGGCAACACTGACTGATGGTCAGTCACAAACCGTGACACTACAGTGGACATTTTTAGTGTCCTTGTTTCTTGGACTATATGTCTGTGTAATGTCTCAAAGTCCATCACTAAAGTAATTATTAATAATCTAAAATAATCTCACAGGACTTGAATAAATGACAGTTTGGTTCTTTTCTAAAGCAAACAGAGACTTCAGCTGCTTTCTGCAGGTGTGGTGTTCTCATCTTTGTAACAAATGTTATCATACACATTCCTTTCTCTTTGCTTTAAACTTTAGCATAAAAACTGAAGACTCACACTCTGATCATCAAAAGTTTAGTCTGTGCTGAGTTGTTGTTGCGCAGCAGGTTCTGCTCACGCCCTGCATCAAACTGTTCAGGAATGACCGGTGAGGACAAAGTTTAAACACTTTAATTTGTCTCACWCAGATTTAATCACAGCTCAGTCTCGCACGATTTGTGCTTTTTGCTCTTTTTGGTCACATACTGGTGTTTGGAACAAACAGCAGTAAGTCGAGCAGTTCTTTTTTCTCTACAACAGACAAGATGAGGTACTGAACGGCTCCATCCTGAAGTCCTTCATGACCTTCAGATATTTGAACTCCTCTGTAGACTGACACTCATTCCTGATGTAAGAAGAACCAGTCTTGTTTTTTTCCGGTTGCATTAAGAGCAGCTGACTGTTCCCAAAAGAAATCAAAACCAAAAGTAAAAGCCTCTATCAAGCCCTGAAATCTTTTTTTTTTGTCACTTCAGTAGAAAACGAAACTAAATATTAGTTTATTTATTTCTTCATCATCAGTGATTTTTTTTAAGTGAAGAGAAAATAGAGACAGAGAGAAAAACAGAGAGAGAGAGGTGATTAGAAAGATTTAAAGACTGAAATAGTGATTAGAAGTATATTAAATATACAGCAACAAAACACAGGACCACACACCCAACATCTGTCCGCTCACCTGAAAAATAAATGGATAAATACATGGAGGGCATATATAAA